TCTCGATGGGTTTTGTGGAGGGTCTAACACAGTCAATAGTGAGATGGTTAATGGAGTATCTCATGCTGATATTCCATGGGTCCTTCAATTTCGCTAAAGCCTGCCGTGTGATGCGCGCGATAGCGGGCGAAGCAAAACTGGTAAATAAAGAGAATAATAAAGAATATGGTCTGGAAATTTCACGCTCCCCATGGAAGTTATATACCCTCCTCCCCGCTCGATGGTGTTATTTGAGGGAAAAAGTTGCTGCGGAGAGAGGGTCGTAAGAATTTTGCAAAAAGTACCAACGACAGGACCGACCCTGCTGCCAACCCTCTTGAAGCAGCTTAGCAGGTAAGACAGCCGGAGGGGGATGGGGAAATAATACTGGGCTAAAGAGGAAATAGCGCCTGTTGATTATTCATTGGTAAACAGTTCTATTAATAGAAAATAATAAGAAAGTTGGTTGTGCTAATTAATTATTGAACTGAGACAGCGCTTGGAATCATATTGAAGAGTTTTTGCGCTGTTCATATCATTTTTGAATGCCCTACTCACTTGCCCTTCGCCTTTTGCTTTCCTGGCAGTCGTGCTACCAGTTACACCACCGGAGCACCATTTTCATTTTTCATTTTTTCATCACGTTACACGTGCAAATGCTTATAAGCTATGGTAACTTTACCATCGAAGTTGGGGTGAAATGGTGCCCCGGTGGTGTAACTGGTAGCACAATTGCCCGGAAAGCAAGAGATCCGGGTACGAATCCCGGCTGGGGCGAAAGTTTTGCCCACAACTCAGCATTCTTGTGATAATCAACTATACTGTTGTCAGCCCAACCCCGATTGCTCAAACTAGTGATAAGTCAAAACATGACCAGGGGAAGCCTAATGTTCAGCACATTTCGAGAGCCTGCTTTTGGGAATATTTCGGATTCAGATCAGCACGAAATATATTTCAGATCTTCTAGTACCTGATACGATCAGTTGTATGAGATGCTAATGTGCAATAATTATGTTGCTTTGATATTGTTTTGTTCAGAACTACGATCACTTCGAGCGACCGGTAGAGAACAGTTCAATGCCACTGGACGTCAAAGTGCGATTTCTTCTCAACCAGATCCTCGACGTGGTATAACCTGGTATTTCTGTAGTCCATGAGTTTTCGAATAGAATCCTTCATGGATTCTGTGAACTTAAAGGGTGCTCGCCACGATCGCTTGTTATCAATATCGATCTTAATTTTAGGACGAAAAAAACCAAGTGATGTCAATTCTTGCCTACATCGACTTTGTAAGTACTCAGCTTTAAGTGTGTAATCAAAATACCGTCCTTCACGTTGTCCAAGCACTCATGTGGATTTCAAATTGAGGCCGTAGTGATGTCATTATGGCCACTTTTTGAAAACACGTAGTGGAATTCAAAAAGGCTTGCTGATTCAGTGTGACGAGGGGCTCGAAAAAGTAGCTAATATTTTTTCTTGTATATTTTTTCTCGGCTCTACTACCGTTCTTGTAGCACTGGAACGACTATAAACTCCGCTGGGATCCTAAGATGTTTGGCGGTATCAGAGATGTGCGTTTTGCTGGAGAACAGGACGCGCCGTTCAAGTTGTGGAGGCCAGACGTGCTGCTTTTTAACAGGTACTTTAACAGCGGACAATCGAACAAATAAAGCCTTAGAAAAGGGATTTCTCGGCTCTACTACCATTCATTCTTAAATACGCCTCCTTCCGGACTGGTCGCAGATGCCTGCACGACAAAGGTCACCGGCGCGTGAGTGTTGCGTCGGCGTGGTGGGTTAGGCGATGATTTGAAACGTTGGTGGGCCTGACTACCTAATCCATTTCCTGGTATTCCTGGTATTGTCGCTAACTGTCTCTATATTGTTTTCAAAAAAATCTATCAGAAGGGCCACGAAATTTAAAGCAACGTCCCTAGATGGATCCATACTTGTGATACTGATGGAGTGAAAAGATGCGTGAGTCCTAATCAAGATTATACGAAGTTTCGCTGAGGAAAAAACTGACCTTTGGAAAAGTTGCATTGGATGGGTGGATCGGTTCGGTAGGTGCCAATTGTGTCCGTACACCTTTTGGTTGACACGCCCATTTGCTAGCCACGGAGATCGCGAGTTTGGTCACGTGGCCAATGCATAGAGGCTAATTCGGTTGTGTACCAAGATTCCGAAAGTGTCAGGTCGGCACGCCGCCGCGCGCGGCGATCGTCAGCTACGGTCGACGGACTACTTGAACTCGGCCCTTTATTAAGCTGCCTCACTCGACGCTTTCGTCTGCGCTCTCTCATCTTATCAGCGGCTGATCACCACTGCGATCTCACACATTCAAACTTTTGCCACAATGCAACTGGCTCACCCACCTCGGATTCCCTCCCCCTTACAAGGCTTAGTCCTAAGGCTCTCACCTCCCTCCTTGGGATTTGGAGCCGAGCCAGGCGCCATTCTCTGATCGTCTGTGCTCTCCGCCATTCGTGGCAGGACCATGGACGAAAGTGCAAGTAGTCCGTAAACCATAGGAAGCCACGTGAACGCGGTAATCGTCGACTGTTTACTAATGGATGTTTCCCTTTGAATCTACTCGTCCTCGCCAATTCTTCTTCTATTTCTTTAGGGATTGGATCAACATGGAAGCGAGGAAAGCTTCTGAGCCAGTTTCCGTCACTAACACTCTGACGCTTTGCTGGTAAATCGCTTCGCCGCGCCCATTGGCAGATTGGCTGCAATCAGTAGAGGGGCGGGCGCCGCGGTTGCGATGCCTGACCTTGACATCTTCCCGTGAAGTCTTAGTCCGTTATCCGGCTAATTCGAGTACGCGCGGGTTAGCGGAGCCGTGGAGCAAGCGAGTTGAGAAAACTCGTCCGGCCTTACCCCTTCATTATTTCAAGTAGAAATGAGGAATACTTGTTATCTGCTGCATTTGCTGTTTGCTTTAGTTTTTTTTTCATTTTCAGTCAGTTCGGCATTCATATTTCCATTATTGCCCGCTGTTACCCCAAGAGCTTGATCTGGGGTTGTTGCTTCACCGTGCATACAAATGAGGATTCGAAGAGTGAAGGCGGAACATCGACAAATGTATGATTACTTGATGGAGAAATTTGAATCCAGAGCACGATTTTCTGCCTACAAATGTTTGAATGGCCATGTTGGCTCCACATCCAAAGCCAAATTCGGCACCGAGTCCCGAACCAAGGAGGTATAAGGCGGCCGATTCCGTGACTAAGTTGCTTTGGGTTATATTGTCAAGTTTACGCACTGAACAGGTATCAGATAGGGTAGTAAGCGCTCGGCGTTTGAATGGAGCTTTGCATTTATGCATATCCGCAGAAAGGAGATTCCAAACCGTTTTGTCTTTGATTTGATTCTGATTTCCGCCCCTCACTCTCTACGAATCACTCGTCTCCATTACATAATAGACGATGATGCATGCATTTGCATGAAGAGCCTTTGGTTGATGCCTGCAAAGCTCGTCCATTCCTTTCCATCCTTCCTTTCTAACGTGGCATTGTCAAAAACTACGGCCGATGTCACTTTGCGAGATCCGCTGCGAGTCCGCCTAGGTTGCGGTCGCGTCGTCGAGCGAACGATACTCAATGTGTATACACTGCGTTTCATAAATATAGGTCCACCCTAATTTTTGCTATTCCAAAGTTGCTGCGCATTTTTGGGAAATGCCGCTATTACCAATAGTTTCCCCATAACGAAAAACCTTGATACTCGATTTTTGGAGAAATCTCGATTCAGAATTATTGAAATATCTTTTTTAGAACGTATTTTCACCGTTTCGCAAATATGACTACACATTACTTGTCGAAAGATTTTATTACAACAAAAAAACGTAAAAAAATTTCAATAATGTGGTGGTCCTCCATTAGTCATAAGGAAACACAATAATACGTTTTGGAATGCTGGTAACCAAATTAGCTATTACAGTAGGATCGAAATTTGTCTGGGCGCTGATGATCGACGTTTTCAGCTCTTCGGCTGTTCCATTTTGCTTTTCTTTGCTGTGGAACTTTATAACAATTAAGGCCCAATGATTCTCTATTGGAATCTGATTCAGATAACATGGTGGCCACCAGATAACTGCCACATTTTTTCCTGCAACTTCCATCTGGCGTGGAAGGACCGGCATGGACAGCTGCGTTATCGTGCGTAAAAATCAAGGTTCGAGAGGGCTGTTGTCGAAAGATGGTAAAAGTCGCTTCAGAAGAACTTCACGATACCCTATGGAATCCTCGTGAAAGGAAACAAATACGAGCTCTAGCCGCTCAGTCGTTCAAAGGTGCCTCAAACCACAAGGAATTCTCCGCCAAAATTACCTTACTTCGAAACCATCTGCGATTTTCACGGAACCCTCCTGTACCCTCATTTTCCATCAGATCCACTTAGAATAAACTTTTTCACGCCGATTCCAGATCACCCGTAGCATGAAACGAGGAGGTGGAGTCCAAGATCACGAAGGGTCCTGGCAGCCACACCTTCGTTCATTAACTTGAGCCCTTTTCCACCGGAGAAATGGAGACGTGCGATCTTGTAGCGCTCAAATAATCTTTGGAACGCGCTTCTTCAATCCGCTGAAGATGTCATTGCTCTGCTGGCTTATTCACAACACGGTGGTTTTGCTTACGGAAGGCCGCATTTCAGCACGGACTTTGTTCGGACGCCTTATCCAATTCGACAGAAGACGCCCAATTCCTCTTGATTTTCAATGAAACGCTGTCATTATTTACCAAGGCTACTCTTCTTCCCGCACAGACCGGGATTTCGCACATAGTTGCTTATGCATCATGAGCCGGCCGACATGGGAGGCAGTTCTGCTTCTCAGCCATCAAACTTCAGTAAGGGCTCTGGTTAGAGCTTACTCGACGTCGACTAAGCTCACATATATCCCCGCTTCCCTGATTCCCTTCACGGATCATGAGAAATGGAAACTTTTTATGAGTGGCCCGATATTCATGAAACGGTGAAAATTCGTTCTAAAAAAGTTAATTGGGTTACTTGAAGGGGGAACTTTGTCAGAAAAACACTATGAAGGTTTTCCGTGATGAGGAATCTAACGGTGATAGCAGCATTTCCAAAAAATGCACAGCAACTTGGGGTAGCAAAAATTTAGGGTGGACCTATAATTATGAAACGCAGTGTATAACGCTCCCGTCGGCCGCTAGCGAAGTCGCACGAATCACATAAATCTGGGCATCGTGTTATACAATTACTTTAGTGTGTCAGAAGCGTTCGATTCCACATATTCATCACGCTTTATCGTCAATTACAATGGAGAAATTCAGCAAAATCCTCCTGGTATATTTCGATTCATCTGCAAGGTACGGTATCCCGTTATCCTAGTACCAAGGAATGTTCTAGGCCTTAAAACTCCCAGTTGTATCACCTTATCCCAGATAGAGAGCTATTTCTTTACAGGTGGATGTCACTTATTATCCTTTCGATACACAGACGTGTTTCTTGAAATTAGGGAGCTGGACGTACAGCGGAAGATATATAAATCTGGATTTTATGCTCACAACGATGATCGGCAAGTCACTTTAATCGTCTTTTTGACTGCTATAGTGACAAAAAGGTCACTAATGGAAGTATATTCAACCATAACAAACAAGAACATTACCGTACTTTCTCCGAATGATGCGCCCAATTAGAAATCTTAAGGGAACTCGTACAAGGGGGTTTAAATTCATATGTAACCAGTAGTACAGGTGACTGTGGGGTCGTTGAATTTCGTGCTTTCGTCCCCAAGGAGCGTCAAACAATCGACTTGAAGACAGTTAATCCGAGCGCAAGTTTGAAACTATGTGAGTCTCCAGATCATTTTCATAAAAGCCTATTCAGCCTATGAGGGTGGATTCCACGACAAGTGGGGAAAAACGGGAAATTACCTAGTGGGAAGACAGGCAGACCCTCTAAGAATGCAGCAAACGCGATGGCACCGAAAGAAATATCCTCGGCGACCATAATCATATGCCCTTCCGTGCGGCGGCTATGCGGCGCAGCACCGCCTACAGAACTGTCTAGCAAATCGGCTCGCAGGTCTCTAGTCTTTAGCGAGGAAGCAATTAAGGCGCTGAAGAGGACAGCAAGGCTCGGAAAGGGTTTTTAGCAGTTTCCCTTTTTCGTCATAGCGGCACCACAGACCACCTCTACCTTTATTCTGATGGGGTGCCTTCTAGGCGCGAACTCCGCTTTCAAACTTCTTAGCTAATTCGTTGCATGGGCCAAGTGCATGTAGCAGATCGATTAGATACGGAGCTGAGAGCACGCCTCATCCCTTGCAAATTATTGTGAACAGAGCTCTTGAGGTTCCTAATCTATATTCTACGTCACTAAATTGTGGTCGCTATTAAAGCGGCGAGAAACGGCGGAACATTTATAAGGAATGTTTAAGGAGTTAAAGGCCATCCGGTGCGGGCGTCTTCTCGGCCCTACGGAGACAATCCAGAAAGCTACACAGTAAATGAATCAATCGACTTGCAAGTATATTTACAAAATGGCGAATGGGATTTGATGAGTTTGTTTTTTTGACTAATTGTGAATTTTTGAACCCTTCACATTACACTGCTGCTTCAGATACTCCTGGAACTCGTGTGGTTACGGTATTTGGTGAAGAATCGTATCATGAACTGTATTACTATATTCATATTCGAAGGCGAACCTTGGCTTACGGCATCAACCTTATCATACCTTCGTTAGTGATTTCGATGATGACCGTCTTGGGATTCACTCTCCCACCGGATGCATGCGAGAAAATCACTCTAGGTTGGTGCCACATTCATCGCTAGTGACAGTCAGGTAGAAAAATCAAAAAAAAGTTGGTAAATCACCTGTATCACCTGTCGTCCCGTTGATCGTCGATTTGCTCGAGCGGGCGCCAGCAACGTCTCCATTCGTCCCTGTCGCGTGCTAGAGTGGTCCAGTGGATCCTCCTTGCTCGAGGGACACGAAGTCCATCATTCCTTTCGTTCAGAGCTTTCGTGAAGAAGTCTGACCATCGGGCCGGCGGTCGTCCAGGTGTTCGTTTGACGTCCCGAGGGATCCAGTCGGTAACCGCTCTGGTCCAACGGTCATCGCAAAATCGCATGACGTGTCCGGCCCACCTTATCTTCGATTCCTTGGCGAAAACGGCAGCGTCCCTGATCTTCGATCGTTGGCGTAGTTCCGAACTCCGGATTCCCCTCTGCACTTGCGTGTATAGGGTTACTCCTAGCATCGTCCTCTCGACAGCGCGTTGGATAACGCTGACCGCATGCTCGTCCTGCCTGCGCAGAGTCCAAGTCTCTGAGGCGTAGGTTAGGGCAGGAAGGACAGCGGAATCGAAGAGGTGGGCACGGAGCCGGATGTTCTTCGTCTTCTTCACTACTCCCTCGATGTTCTTGTACGCTCCCCCCAAGCCGCTCGTTTCCTCCTGCTCAGCTCTGGAGCTAGATCGTTCATCATATTGATTTCCCGACCTAGGTACACGTAGCTGGAGCATTCGGTGATGTTCGTTCCGTTGAGCGTGAATGGGGCATCAGGAACCAATCCGTTTCTCATAAACATCGTCTTCGTTAGGTTCAGCTGTAGACCAACCTTACCACAGGCGCAGTCGAAATCAGCCAGCATTCGCTCCGCTTGCTCGATGTTCGGCGTTATAAGAACGATGTCGTCAGCAAAACGAAGGTGGTGTAGTTGCCGGCCGTCGACCTTCACTCCCATGTCTTCCCATTCCAGTTGACGCATGACGTTCTCGAGAGCGGCGCTGAAGAGTTTGGGCGAGATGGTGTCGCCCTGTCGGAACCCCTCTCTTGACGTCGATGATGACCTCCTTGTAGAATGGTGAGATTCTGGTCGTAAAGTTGCTGTAGAGCTCACGAAGAATCTTGATGTACTGAGTAGGGACGCCCTGGTTGCCCAAGGCTTCGATGACCGCTTCTGTCTCCACAGAGTCGAAGGCCTTCTTCAAGTCGATGAACGTGAGACAAAGCGGCATCTTGTACTCGTGAAACTTCAATGAGTCTCGTAACCGTGTGGATATGGTCGATCGTGCTGAACCCTCTTCGGAACCCTGCTTGCTCGCATGGCTGTCCTTCATCTAGTATTCTGCCGATCCTGTTAAGGATGACTCGAGTGAATAGCTTGTAGATTACAGACAGCAGGCAGATTGGGCGATAGTTGCCAATGTCGTCCAAGGTCTCCCTTCTTGTACAGCAACACGGTCCTGCTGGTTTTCCACGGAGTGGGTACCTTGCATTCCGACAGGTAGCGCGTGAAGAGTCGAGCCAGAGTTTTGATGATAACTGGCGGTGCGTTCTTCAGATGTTCCGGTTTAACCCTGTCGAGACCGGGCGCTGTACAAAGGAGGGTAGGCAATGGAAACAAACAAAAAGTATTAAAATATAAAATAACCAAAAAATAAAAAGAACAGGATAACAGTTCCAAGTGGCGTTCTGGAATTACGTTATTTTTCTATCAGGTGGTTCTCTCAAACTCCTTGATTCCGTCATTTATTCCGGTAATAAAATTAATCAAATGAAGGCACATCCCACGAAGCGGGATGGGTCAAAAGGAGGGTATGTCAGCAGGATGGCAATGGGACCCTGACGTGCCAATTGGAAAAAGGAGAAAAAACTTCCGAAAAAGTAAAAAAAATTGAAAATAAATTTGACTTGTTTTGTTTGTTAACTGCTGTTTTAACGCCGCAGTTCGCGTTGCGAATGTTTCACAAGAATGCTGGGTTGTGAACAAAACTTTCGCCCCAGGCGGGACTAGAACCCGCACCTCTCGCTTAAAGCGAGAGGTGCGGGTTCTAAGTCCCGCCTGGGGCGAAAGTTTGTTCACAACCAGCACATTCTTGTGAAGTAAAGGAAAGCGTCGTCATTTTCGGCGGTTGGCGTCTGGAGACGCTAGGGCCAAGCGACACTGGGTGTCCGAGAGAAGAGTACGAAGGACAGAGAGCGTGAGAACATAGCGCATTGGCTCGCTTGAGCTGAAGAGTAATCGCTTCTATGAAAAATTTAAGTCTATAGCCCATTTTCCATTCAATATAACCCCAGAGATTGGACCACTTTCCCATGAGCTGCGAAATTGATCCTATTTCCGGGGTTGCGAACCCGGCTATCGTATACATGAGAAGGATTGGCAAGGGCTGACGTATGATTGTGGAACGTGCCCTTAAGTTTACTTCTCTGTCCTTCTTCTCTTTCTTTATCTTCTTGCTTTTACTTCTACCTCAAAATTCTGCATTAGAGTAGAACTCAACGAATACTCTCATCACTCTCGTTACACTCGTCTATAGCGACGTCTTCGTTGAGCGTAAGCAGCGTGAAGATGTTATGTTCCTTGTGACTTATGACAGAGCCAGTTCTTTCATCCATTTTCATGAATGAGGTTAGATCTGGAGGATGAAGTAAGTACGCGGGTTCTGGACAATACCTTTAGGGGTATTACACGGGGATAAGCAACACATTTCGTTCCTCCCAGAATCATTCCAGAAGCATTGCTGACTTTCCATGAAAAATGATGTATGGAATAACGGATGTTCAAACTTCGAAATTTTGTCAGCCATTCTGCGTAAATTTATTTTTCCACAATTTCGGGTTCAGTGTCAAGGAATTCACGCCAGAGAATAAAAGGCTTGGGTGAAAGAATTTTGATTTGACAATCGATCCACGACCTTTTGTGTGGTAGCGCCACCTTTTCAATAACCTTACCTCTTACCCTGAAGAACGTTTTGCTCGAATCTTTGCTTTCAGAGACGACCGTACTACTTTCGGTGATTTTCTTCCTACAGATGGTATCCAACATGAGTCCGCCGCAGTCAAAATCCGTTCCAATCCTTGGTAAGTGTGCTTATGCTATTGGTCAGAGGAATGAGTGCACCCATAGGAGCTGCAGAACATTCATGGCTTTTCAGCTGCGTTTTTCTCGTGCTGTCTGATGGTGGTGGCGTGTTCCTGTGTCTTCACTGTGCTCACGATTTGCCTCCACGAACGAAAAGCTGAGACACATGAAATGAGTCCATTGGTGAGTCTTTTCATACGTTCTTCTTCTAACCATAAGATGCTGCTAGAAACAGGCCACAACCTTTGGTGGAATTTTTTGAAAACTTTCTAAAAAATTCGAATCTTCTATGTAAACGCTGCTCGCCAACCTAAAGGAAGCGATTACGATAAAGTGAGAGCGCATCGGAAGTGCATGTGCCACACGAAGCAGTAGCTTGGCTGCCAAGGAAGCGAGGTGTGGCGCTTTCACGACGAAAGGTGCGCTGGTTGCTGAGCAGGACTTGAAAAGCGCTCCCCCAAAAGCGATCCGCCCACTAGTTAGTTGGTGATTTGGACTGCTGCCAGCAGCGGCACAACTGGAGCAACTCGACTGGAGCATGGATTGGCATGGTGCCACCAAACGCGTTGCGGTAAACTCGTCCATACGTCCGCCGTCTAGCCGCTGCCCGTCCGTGAGCGAAAATCAACGGCCACAAAAGGAGGTCCCCTTTGATTTTTCTTTACATATTTCTCAGCCTTTTCCGCCATTGGTGTACCATTGAGCAATCCCACGTCCCCTTCAAATCCACTCCAAGACCTGTAAAAATCGGTGCCTCTATGTCCTATTCCCACCTCTCCCGAATGCCTACTTCCCGTCTTTTAGTACCAGACAAGCGACAAGAAGCAGATGACGCAAATGAATCAGTGTGCGAGTCGCAGCGCGTTTCCATTTAGCTTAATTTCAAATTTCTACAGTACGAGTCACGACTCGCCCACTGACCCGTCTGCGTCTCGGCCTTTTCGCCGCGGGACAGGCCTCCTGTAGTGTACCCTGCGCCAATTCCGCGAAATGTGACCTCACTATTACTTTTAAAGGATAAAGGATAAAGCATTTGCCGTTGATCAATCCCTTTTTGGGATGCGGCACGCATTCTACTTCCATTTGTACATTCGTAGTGGCGTTTGAATGCGATGTGGCCTATACAATGACTTGCGGGGCCAGCCGATGTACAAGTCAGTGTTTTTATCCTCCCAGACAAGTCTGGTACCAATTAACCGACCCCGGAGGGATGGAAGGCTTGGTTGGCCCGGGCGACTCACGACCCAGGATTTGATCCCCGGACCGCTCGCGTGGTAAGCGTGCCACTTGCCACTACACCACTTCCGCCCTAATTACTTAGAAAAAATAATTGACGTTGGTGGATCAATCTGCAGCTGGCACTAAACAAAATCAGACCTGTTGACAGGATTATAAGGGCTAATCATTCAGCTGGCAACTATTATACTTCAGTGGTGTTTGCGTCATTTATCTTACTCACAGGTTTTGAGTCACAAAACCTTTTTTTACTGATTCAATACCTCAACATCCTTTTGCAAATGTTTTTAGCGCTTTTTCAGACCTCTGCCAAAAATAGGCTTTACTCCATTTAGATGCGGCGGGTCTTTGTCGAATGGCTTCCTTATATCCTGATGATGCGAACGCCTGACCATCCCAGAGCACCGAAACCAAAGGTAAGAGAGGTTGCATTGGTCTTTGGTAGATCCCGATGTATTCAATTTTAGGTGATCGCCAAAAGTATTTTGCCTATTCATAGACTCAGTACCCTTCCACTTTTGAATCTACCTCGACCGTCCACTCTAAACACGGCAATACAAAGAAGTTCATCCAAAACCTTCGGTGAGTATTGTGTTAGTAAATGCCAATGTCAACTTGATATTGG